TCAAGCTCACCAAGGTAATTCCTGTCTGTCCCCGCACTCTAAGTGCAATGCCAAGGGTTCCGCTAAGAGCAACATTCTGACGGCTCCTACGCTGGCCAGGAACATAGCGCGTATCACGATCTATATCTCATTGCCTTGCGCTTGATGAAGTTGCGCATCCGTTTCCGTGCGATTTACTCGGCCTCGACTTTGTTGCTGACGCGATCTTCGATGACGTTCACCGTCTACGCGCAAACGGACTGCATGCTGTCCTCCATCTTCTTGAGCTCGCCGATGTTGATGGCACATTGCATCTTGCAATCGACGCTCGGCACCCGATTCCGAAGTTTCATTCTGTAATAGTCTCAGCTGACTGGAGCTTGTCCACGAAGGCGCTGGGCACATTGTCAGCACTTTCGGCTTCTCTTCGTCTGCGCTGGTGTACAGCATGTTCACCACGACGCTCGGCTTGAGCTATGCTGCTCTCGTTCTGGCGACGCCGCTGCTGGCGTTGCGCATTTTCAAGACGGCGCCGTGCACCTTCCTCAACATTTTCACTATCACGCCTTCTCTGCTGACGCTCAGCATTTTCACGACAACGCCGTGCTCCCTATTCAGTGTTCTCGCCCTCGCGACGTCTCTGTTGACGTGCAGCGTTCGTCGAACGGCGGTCAACAGCTTCCGTTAAGCTTTCAGACTGACGACGCCTTCGAGCACGTTGCGACATGATTAACAAACGGGAATGTTTTCGCTGAGAAGTTTCAGCCTCGCGATCTTTGCGATGGCGCTGCGCATCCTGCGCGTGTCTGACGGAACGATGCTGAGTTTCTTCGCCTTGTCGCTGTTGCTGATGACGCAGGGCGTCCGTCTGCAAGCGCAATGCTCTTTGGAATTCGTTTTAAAATGAGCGATGGCTTCGTTGACGTTCAACGTCAGACGCATGGACGCGAGGACGTCCAAGTAGCCTACTTGCCGACATTCCCGGTCCAGCCCAGGCATTGGCACCTGGCCCGGCGTAGTGATAAAAACGTCTTTGAACTCACAATTCGTCCCTCACTCTTCATTTTAATTCTCGTTCCCCTTTCCATCTTCCTTCCTGTTTCGCTCCTAGTTTGCACTGCATCGCTCGTGGCACCGTAGTTGTTGTCTTCCTCCTTGATCGCCTCTCTTCGTAATCACACCGCACGTCTTCGCCGCAAAATGTAAATGATCTTTACCGCTCTCTTCTACTTCACTTGGGGAAATGATTTGATGGTAATTAAAGAGCTTTCATTTTCTTGGATGTAAGTAAACAAATCAATAAATCGATAGAAGCCAGCGAGTCGTTGAGAAGAAGCTATCTTCTGCGCCGTGGCTTGTTTAGGGGAGAGAATCTCGCTTTTTCGGTTCATATACAAAAGAGTCTATAAGCCACGAATATCCTTACAAACAAAGGTACAGGGTTGAGTTTTATATATATTCTAAATCATCATTTTGCGCAACCATAACGAATTTCCGTAGCTCTAACAGTTTTGAATCTTTAAAATTAGATTCCAAAACAAACACATGATTTGATAATCAAAAAGAAGTTTGACTTTTTGCTAGAAAAAGATTGAAAGTGAATTTCTAAAATTTGAAAGTGGAATTTTGCTTGAAACCAATTCTTTAAGAGAACTTATCTTTAAATAAAGATCTTTGGATAATATAATTGCATCAAATATCTCCATCTAAAGTTTTATGTATCGAGATTATTTACTAATAGCGACTTTCATATGCGAAACATTAAGTTCCCAGATCCAAAGAGCATTTCATCAAACCTCAGCTTTAGATTTAATTTGCTTCTGAAAATTCACAAACATACCGCTTTCAGTGTTTGAAACTGAATAAGTATAATTTATCTCTTTGAAATGACATCTATCTTCTTCAAACTGAGCAATAATGGGAATTGATAGAAACATCCAAGCAATTTCGAAGCCTTGCCGTCTTCGAGCGGTCGGGTATTGTAGTTAAAGACAGAACGGCACATCCCATTCACTATTTGAAATTTGCTGTGTATGCGTCGCTTTCATCCCATTTAACTCTCTTTCCTTTGAGACTATCAAGTCGCACTTCGATTCAAGGTGGCTTTGCAGAAGTTCAAGCCGTTACGGCTCCATTAATCAATCAAAATTTCATCGCATTCAAATCGAGAATGTAGCGTGGACGTTCGTAGAAAATCGAAAATTACGAATCGTGCAGTATCTATGCAGAAAACCACTCGTGTACTTTTCCACTCAAACGATGAAAGAGCTCTGAAACCCACCGGACGATGCTGAACATCACGGATCAATCGTAAACAACTGTTCATTTTCACAGTATTTCCATGTAAGATCGGTAATTTTGAAAGAAAAAACCTTTCTGTAGAAGAATAAATGCAAATTCGAATGAGTTACTGCATTCATTTGAACATCAGTGTTCTCATAAATTTACTAAACACCATGGGCTTCTTCTCTGTGCAAAAATCTTTTCAATTCATCAGGTAAAGCCTTTACTAATCGAATATTTACGCATTCAATCCTTTTTGGCGCTCCTCTAGCGAAAAACAGACCTTTTGAGCATTTCTTGGACTGGAATTCATGGTTCCTAAATTTACTTCTCAAACAAATACATGACGTTGCAAAAAGTCGAATCAGCGGTTCAGTTTTGCATGCCAAAAGCCGAGTGGACCCGCTCCAAACGCCATTTTCAAAGAACCCGCTCATCGGATCCGTTCGCCATTGCGCAGGGTGAGCCTCGACGCTGCAAGCGTACATTGTGCAAGAATTTAGCTCAACATTTGCTGGAACTCGCTCTATGAATTTCGTGAAAGACAGACATACACACACGCACAAAAAGACAGACGCTCAGCGGCCTATTATAAGTCATGATTTTTGGGTGGGGAAGTAGTGAAAGCTATTAGTATCACATATCAACTACACAGGAATTTCTTTTATTGTAAAGAACGTTACGCACAAGTAAGCTATTCAGAAGCTCCATTCTTTGACCTTTCAAGCTTCGTTCATGCTGTAATGGACGAGATGAATAATTTGGTATTTAGATACAGCAAGTTTTCTCTAGTTAACGAATAACAGTAGATTTTGTGGTCTGCGATCTTGCAAATGTTTAAAAAAACGAAACTCTCACACATTTGCACAACTGTTGTATCTTACTTCCTTGGGCTTTATTTGACTGAAAATAATTTCTACTCAAGATTCAGATATCAATTCTCACTGAAATTATCTTTTGAAATATACCAACTGAACAAAACCTTATTGCATTGTAGGAGTCGCAAACGCAACCGAAATTAGGTATTTATTACGATTTACGATTTACGACTTATTTGCCTCTCATATTATTACAATATGTGGCACAAACAAATTAATCAACTTTCAACGTGAGTCATCTTGCTGCTCTTTGCCAATTGCAAGTGCCAAGCTTCTTCTGAAATTCATCTCTCTATCTCATTCTCGGTCGTCCTACTGGACGCTGTTGAAATGGTCGCCATTCCAATAGTTCTCTTGACCATTTTATCTCGTTTCTGTTGGCGAGCTTCCAAGCATAAATCCATTTCCTTTCCTTCGCGCAAGTCGCTAAATCTTTCACTTTGGTGACGCCAGGTAACATGAGTTCGTCTTCTTGTCTATTATGCGACTGCCAATCATTCTCCGTTCTATACTTCTTCCAGCAGCACTAACAAGGGAATGGTCGGAAGTCGAAGTGGCCAATCCATACAAGCTGCATGCTATTCGATGCAGCATGAAATGCTGATTTCAAATCTGTTTTCCATATCTGCAGAGCGCCCGTAGGCGAAGTTATGAGCATCTTTACTGCGAAAAAACCGTATACAAAAATTGCAAAATTAGGCACGTTGTTGCTCCTTAGCTCAACTCTAGGTACGGGTCATATGAAGTAACCTAGTCGCATGTTTTAGTTCAACACTGAGCCAAGAATGGCTCTGTACGGCCAAGTTTGCACTTTACATGCACAATTTCTTAGCAAAATAATGGCCTTCAACGAATTATAATTTCATCCACAAAAGCGCTCTGCAGATAAGGAAGACAGATTTAGAGTCACAGTTTTATGCTGCATCTAATGGTATGCAGCTTGTATGAATTGGTCAGGTTCGAATTCTGACCATTCCCTTGTAAGCTGTTTCTCCATCTTCTTCGTCATTGTCGATGTTTCCGCTCGCAGGAAGAATACATGAATTATACAATTTCCGCTTCCACTTCACTAGCACCCTCTTCGATGTCAAGAAACCCTTATATTGGTTAAAGATTTGCCATCCAGCATGTATACGCCTTGACATCTCTTTGTTATTATCACGGGGAGTGAAATAGATTGTCCAAGATACATATAAAATTTCACTTGTTCGATGGTTGCGCCTTCCAAACTGATTGTTACTCGCGTACGTGCAAGCATTTTGGTTTTCACAAAAATGATCTTGAGACCGCTCTTGCGTGAATGACTATCCAGGTTGTTTATCATCTCTTGTAATTCATCTCCCATTTTGCAAACAAGACGACAGCAAAACGGAGATTCGTGGGCTGATTACCGTTTATATAATAACCATAGTTGTTCCAGCTGATTTTTCGAAATTGTTGTTTGTTTGAAATTTTTGTTCAAGTGTAACTGTGAACAGCTTTAATGAAAGTGGATATCCTTGTCTCACCTCTCCTAACGTTTATAGGAACTGACGCTTCACCGACCTTTACGGTAGATTTTGAGCTTGTATAGACTTGACGAAGAAGAGTGATTTACCTGGAGAACACGAATTCCATGGTAAGTACATCCCATATCTTCTGACTACATTTCGAGTTAAATTACTGCTATTTTCGGAAAGACAAAAGTTGGAGCATTCACGCTCTTTTTCCAATATTGCCTTTTCAAGCTCATGAGAAAAGCTATCAAAATTTCTACATGGCGAAATAAAAGAAAATTTGTGCATACCTACTGAGCGTCCTACTTGTAGGGATGCCGAGACGTCGTAAACAAAACCAGTCCGGGTTACGACCTGGTCCTGAATGTCCCCAGGGCCTCCGGGAGACCACATGGTGATGATGGCAGCAATGGAGGTAAGCTTCGTAGTTGATACTACATAGGTATTCGAGCCGCGTGGCTTCTTCAGGTAATACTTTTTTTGGAGGCAGAAGTGAAAGAAACAAATACGGATTTTTTCTAGTCTCAAGATGTGCAGAAGACAAGAAAGAAGAAGAAGACACAAGAAGACAGAGAAGACAAGACAAACAACTTCACTTCCACTTCAGAAACTAGGAAAAAGTAAGGGGTAATTCATATTTTAAAAACCCCAACTTTCAGAGAAAACGGCATGGATGGAGTGCCCGGAATTGATGGAAAAAGTGCCAGCGATTATCTTGTGTGCATCCAATATCCTATAGGCTCTCCAGGTCCCCGTGGACCGCGTGGAGCGCCAGGGCCAGTTGGGCCACTTGGTTGGCTAGTGTTGTTAAACGTCACAATAGCCAATAAACTTCTCAACATTAAGGCCTGATGGTGAGCCTGGTGTTAGTGGAATAGGACCACCTGGACCTGAAGGTGCAAAAGGGGAAACTGGACCACAAGGTGGAGTTGCAAATTCCTTACATTTTATAAGACAATTCAGGAAACAATTTAGGAGTGATAGGGCCACCTGGAACACGCGGTGAGCCAGGCCGAGTAGCTACCAGCTGGATATGCCCTCCAGGTGAAAAGGGCGTACCAGGTAATGGCCGAGCCCAAGCCACCGGTGGTTTCGGTCCCGTTGGTCCATTTGGAAGTCCAAGTGAAGTCGGTTTACCTGTGCTACCGGTTCAATTGGTAAACGTGGATTGATTGGAGCAGGAGAGATTGGGAGAATTGGCAGTCGTGGAAGGAAAGGCAGAAAAGTTTGTGAAATCAATAGAAAATACCCATGAAGGATCTTATTTACAGCTTTTGACCCGAATTACTGCGAATGTCCAAATAGGACCAAGTCGAGTGTGGGAATGCCTGTCATAAATCCAAAAAATAGTACAGAATTTAATAAATACCTGAAGAATCTTGATTTTGATCGAATAGTTTGATGCAAAAATCAATCTTTATGTATGTGATATGTACGTACATCGACAGTGGCACCCAAATACTTGATAGACTTGATTTGTATCCACACGATAAATGGAAAGCTCATGAAAAGTCTGTCTCCCCTAGGCCCCGCCCACCAACAACTGCAAGCCACGCCCCACCCCCAGTGAAACAGCATCCGGGCAGATTACACAAGGATAACCGTCAACGGGACACCCACACCCGCTCTTCCCATTGCCCTTGCGGGTGCGTGTTATATGTGCAAGTTGAAACAGGAATAATTTTTTTGGAAATTTGCGCAGGTTGCCCCAGTTGGTACTCATCATCGCTGTTGAAATTAATAAATAATTCCAATAGCTAATCGAGAAAAAAGTGCGGGGGGGGGGAACTGAGAAGAAGGCGAAAGCATGTCTCTTTACCCCCCCCCCCCCCCCCCAAGAATAATGGGAGACGGTCAAGAGGCGCGATTTCTCTGGCTGTCACCAACTCAAAACTCCACTTTGACGCTATCCGGGTCCTTGAAAAGTATCAGAACAAGGTGCATTGGCTTATAAGCGTTTGAAGCTACTGCCTGTTGAGTTTGGCGTTTTTTAGTGGAAAAGTAACCGAAATATTCACAGAATTGCTATCAACTGCATTTTCATGGAACATATTTGGTGCGGTATTTGGTGTCCAGCTGGCAATAGAAATCGCGCCTCTTGACATACACCCAAGAATAATTAGCTACATTTGCAAACGTAGTCATACATACTTGAGCAATTGTTTTGATGTGGATTAGAATTATTTGACGAATTTTATAAGAATCATTAATTTTAGAGAAAATTTGTCGTATTAGGTTGTCTCGAAAGTTTTGTCGGGTTTTTCAAACCACTGTAAAACCACGCACAATGAAGATTTGAGTGAGTTCCAACGTGTATTCGATGCAGCTTTTCCTTCTCTTTCTTATGGATGGATTTAACTACAATCTTATATTCTTTTTTTCAATTATTGCCAAAATTCTCCACCTGTCAATTTTACCTGCTCAAAGTTGAGCTGATTTTCAAAAATTTCATAACAAAGTTTCGAAAATGACTAAGTATGAATCAAATAGAGCAACTCTCGACTATAAGTTCATCATGACTTATAATAAGCGGCTTAATCTGAAGTTGTGTGGAGTTTGTCCGTTACGAAATTACAGTGAGGAATGATTTACGATACTAAACATCATGTGAGGTTAAGATAGCGAGTATGGTTCATTTTTAACTACGGCTCACGTTGCAATAAACCGAACAATGTTGAGAGACAAGCTCTCAGAAAGTGAGTTTACCACGGTTCACGATGCCAGTGCGAACCTCTGCGAAGCAGAGGTGAAGCACTGGTATTTCTAGATTCTCCTAATCTGCTGATTTTAACTTCAAAAAATTGTTTCTCCGGAGGCCTTGGTTTTTAACAAAGTCATGAAACGCGTAATTGCAGCGAAAGCATGAAAACTTTGGAGTTTTTGCGAATTCAAACTTGTTTGTCATTTAACATCACTTATGCAACATAACCAAGTTTGATTTGCTTCAAAAATCAGCTTTTTGGAATTTTCGGTAATTGCACGTGATAAAACGTGTTCAAAAAGCCGCGGTTTTTCTCAAATAAATAATTATTACGGACATTATAAACGTGGCCCACGTAATCTAAAATAGATACATAGCCAAAGGTTTGCCCTACATAACAGTTACCAGCGCTCGTCGAAAATATCAAGATAAAAATTTTGAAAATCAAAGTTTTGGCGCTACTGCTGAGGTGCTCAAAAAGCCATGGCGATAACATCGTAAAGACGGGGTAGATCAGGGAACAAATATAGATAGCTATAAGAAAGAGGATACAAAAATGAATAGAATGACACCTAGGCCATCCATGGATTGGTGTTTTGTGAGGTTTGGTGAGCGATGAAAAAAAGCGACAAAACTTTCGGGACGACCTAATACTATTCATTAGAAAAAATTCAAACCCTTGTCCCTTTCCAAATTTCCATGCGCTGTCTATCTATGAAATTCACGCAACATTTTCATGATTTCAATCATGGCCTTCAAGAAAAAGGTCCTTTTTAAATGATTTTGCTTTCGTTAAAATACTCAGAAGGTTGGTCTGAAAATTAGACTTTCTGTATTACTTGAAAACGATCACCAAAAATTTTTCTTCATTGGAAGCGGAACATACAATATCACTCTCAGAATGTGCAGATTTTCCGGGTTCCGCGGAATTCCCGAAAATTTTGCACATTCTGAGAGTGGTGTTGTATTCAAGAAAGCGAAATGATAAGTATTGATTAGAAGTAATTCCATCATTATCAGATCCAGGAAGAAGCCAAGAGCGGTAATGGAAATAATCAGGGGACCCGGCGGAGGCGAAAAACTTTTAGTATACTTTGTGGTGAACTTTACTTTATACAGCGCTCTCTGAATGTGAATCAACCCCTTCCAACATGAAAGCAGGCTTCTAGCGCCATCGAATTTCGGAAATAGTAAATGGTAGCCTCTCTCGAAATAAACTTTCAATGAACCACTTCGATTTTTGAAGAAATCAGAAGATTCTGATCTTAAGAAGTGGCTTTCACGAAGAAAGTTTGACTTGCATAAAGTGTAATGACACAGAAATTCTGACTGTGATCGAAACATAGTAACTTCCGGAGAAGATGCACTTAGCTCCTACTTGCTTACGCGGTTTTTGCACATACATTACAACTGCTGTAATTTTTTTACAGCTATGGAGAGAGAACCAAAAATAGGCAAAAATCTCGAGAATGTCTCGCTTTCGGGTTTTCTATGCCAAAGTAATATTCCTCCAAAACTGTGTTGTTTGAGCATGAAAATTTTTTGCATCCAAAAATTGTAGTACAGAATGATGTTTGTATTAGCAACTCAGCGTCGCTTCAACAAAAACCTGCCAATTTTCATTTTCTCAAGTTCTGGCTTAATACAAAAAATATCAAGTGCACGCATAAGCAAATGATGCGATACGTTATTTGTGGGCAGTCCTCAGAATTTTTTGGAACTGCTTTCGGGTAGCCACAACAAATTAAGTCTTGGCAACTGCTCTATAGGTTCATTGTAGATATATTGTAGTTTGTCCAAGATCCAAAGCTCCAAAATTTTGTGCGGGGGCAGCGCAAATTACTCTGCTTAGGTCTAGCGCAGTAAATATGATATTTGTGGATGTCATGTCAATGGTCGTCCCCACGATACTAAAAATACTAACAAGGAGAGGATACTTAGTCGAAAGCACCAATCCAGATGAGACATATACCATCTTAGAGCGCTTGAGACGCTGATTCCAAATCTGCAGTTTCTAGCTGCGGAGCGGTTTTGTAGAGGGAGTTAGGGGTGTTTCCTCTGGAGTTGAGGCGCCCTCCACCAGGTCTCCCCCTACCTATGAGCACTGTAGAGGAGTACCAACTGTGGCAAGTGACCCAATGGTAAGTGACGTGCTTGATAAAGAGAGTGTCAAGGTTTTAATCCCCTTCGCATGCTAAAATTGAACTTCTAAATGGCTTTAGAGCCCTGAACCATGAAACTTCCGATGATATTGGTAGTAATCGAAGTTAGAAGTGTTAAAAAAACTAAAGTGATATGAGTATTATAATCTTTACTGTAATCTTCATTCAAGTTATCTACCATTAGGTCAGTTGCCATCAGCTGATATTCCTCTGCAGTGCTTATAAGCATCTGTATACAGATAAAAGGAGACCGTTGGAGGGCGCCCAAACCCGAGAGGGGAGCACCCTTCATAACTCCTTCTACAAAACCGCTCCGCAGCTAGAAACTGCAGATTTGAAATCAGCGTTTCAAGCGCTTTAAGATGATATATGTCTCATCTGGATTGGTGCTTTCGACTAAGTATCCTCTCCTTGTAAGATATTAGAAAGTAGATGATGTGCTTTCTACGACCCGTTGTGGAATAGCTCGCAAAGAAAGAAATGAGTAAACAAACTTACAATTAGTCACCCAGACGTCGAGAATCCCCAATGAGCGAAACAGCAGTTTAGAATGATTTGATATGGGCACAATCCTTATCAGTAGGATGTATCATCCACAAACGTAAACATGCCCCTATATAAGAAGCCTCGCATTCGAGTGAACCTCAGTTTGTCATATTCCATGGATCAGAACCCCGATGAGCCCTCGAAGCAGCGGCTGCTTCGGGCACTTATGGATGTTCAACGTCGTCGCTTACGAGGTGCTGGAACGCCGCCACGAGGACTCACTCCACCGCCGCCGATAGAGATGGCCAAGACACAAGCTGACGAGAAGGAGAAGGAAGTGCCGAAAGAGAAACCAAAGGCGACCACACCACCACCGGCGACCACACCAGAAAGGTCACATCCTGTAAGTTCTCTGCCTTTTACCAGGTCAAGCAGTATCCTTTGGCAACGATACTTACTTAGATGCATAGATGGCCTTCGCTCGACGTGCAGGGACAAGCACAGAAGTTTTCAATTGATCCTGACCTCGCTTCGAACATCCACTCTTCTTAGCCATTGTTCGTCGGTGACTGCGTCCACTTGAGTTGCAAGAAGCGTCTCCAGCTTTGTCAACTGGGCATGCTGGTTCAACCCTTCCACGAGCATGTCTGCCTATCTAGTTGCCCCTTGGAAACATTTTGCTCTGCAAGAATCCACTCTGATGTCCGTGGTGTCCATCTGTCGTCATCACCTCACAAGATTAGCCAGTCCATTTCGCTTTCGCAACTCATTCCGCTGAGTGGCAAAGTGCCATTCTTTTTGTTGGTTTATCTTCAGATAAGAGTTGTGGGTGCTCCGTAGAGGCGACGCTTCTGCTCGGTCCAAGCCTCAGCTGAGTAACAAAGCGCCGGGGTTAAGACGAGCAGGTAGGCTCAAAGCTCCGGGTTCTTCGGCTGGTCGGTGGAAGAGGCACAGCCCATCCATTACCCTGGATATCGAGTCAAACTAGGCGTAACGCATTAGAACAGAACTGCTCAGAAGGGACGCTTCTAGAGTTCTCAGCGCACAAACAGGGTTCAAGGTTCAGAAGACTGACTACTACGAAATGATGGAGCTCGGCTAGCTGACTGCTGGTTCTAATTACTGCTGATCGACCGTTCTGCTATTGTTCAAAACCTCAATGCTTGCCACCATTCTTAGAGCCATCCTCAGCCTTGGGCCTCGGACAGAGTTTACGCGATTTGATCGTCGCGACTGAATCGCGACGAGACAACTGTTACAACATCATTCCATGCCGATCAACTTGCATTTCGGTTGTGATACTTTTCCAGCCCGAAATTTTTGAATGTGAAATGAAAATGAATGGAAATGTCGGCGATTGAGTCGCGACGATCAAATCGCGTGAAGTCTGTCCGGGCCTTAAGGGCCGGGCATACTTCACGCGATTTCAATCGCGACGCGATTTGGCAATTCGCCAGAAGTCTTCAGATCCAACACTAGCAAATTGCACATCGACAGTGTATATAACCTACATGGATTGACCTTATCTTCTGTACATTCAAAATGTGCTTACAATGAGTTATGGAGAGTTGGAATATTGCCAAATCCGGCGGCGGCTGAAATCGCGTGAAGTATGCCCGGCTCTTTAGAGGGTATAATCGCACAAACACAGGGGCCCCTAAAGCTGGTTCAGTCGATCTCAACCGAAGAAGGCCTCAGCTGAGCATATGTCGAGTCAGCTCTACCTCAGTTGAGCCATCGATTGATTAGTACAACCTGATGATATCAAAAAGAACGCCATGTTCAGGCAAGTATAAGAGTCAAGACGCTGTTCACATTTATGTAATTGGTATCAGCGACGGAAATGTGGCCGCTTTTGTTAGATCTTGTTGAGTTTTGTCAGCCTACTGTAGCTGCTCATTGTATTCCTTAGACATGTTAAACTGACGTGTATTGTAAGTTACTCAGAAACGGAAATTTTCTCTACTCTTTAGCACACTGAGATTATCGCTCTGTCATCTCCCATGACTTGGCAAGGAGGATCTCCCTGCCGAACTTGAGGCTCACATGTCAGTTGAGTTGCATTCTTATAGCATGGGGAAGTAGGCGGTCGTCATCTCACCTAACGGAACCTTACATGAGGACTCCAGGCGAGATCATCTCCTCCGATCTAGGATTAATACAGGCCATAGACTGTACTCTCAAGCTGCAGCATCAGCTTTTCCAGCCACAACACTAATCTATTCACCTTTCTATTCCCGATTCCCTACTGCTGATTTACATCGAGCATTACCTGTGTTTGATAGGGTTCTCAAAGTCGTTCAACTTAGCTATGCATTTACCACAGAAACTAACAAATTCTATTTCCAGGCAACACTTTCAAAGAAGACTATAACGGTAAAGCATCGAAAAGCGTTTTTTCGTTACCATTGTCCGACTTCTTTTTTTTTAGCAAACGTCGTCGCGAAGAAAAAGTTCAGCGACACCGAAAAAGGTGCCTAAAAAGAAAGTGCCTATCAAACGTGAAGTTTTGGCCGAAGGAGACACTGTGCAAAGCGAGGCATTTACGTAAGTGACAACAATTGATTCTTGACACATTTCGTAATGATAAAAAATGACACCTTGTGCCGGTTTCGGCTTGCAAAAAGAAGTACACAGTTTATGGCTAAGAAAATCGATGTTCCACGAGTTTTGCAAAGACTATTTTAGCTGAGGAAGGTCCGGTAGTCTCCTCGGCTACTGCTCCTTTTGCACACGGTAAAGCATACCGTGTAAGGATTACTTGCTCACAGACGCAAAGTCTAATGGCAGCATTCGCTCCTCTATCCCACTTTCGGCTCCATTGAATTTTTCGTGCAAATAAGTGTCAAACTCATAAATTGTTACATATCCTTGCGACAGAGCACTCATTTCTTCAACAAAAAAAATGTTTGCGCAGGCATGACATGAAAAGAATAGGAAGTTTTTCACACGAAAATGAAGTGATAAACGCCGCAAACAGTAGAAGAATTCGCCTTGTCATGTCTTTTTTATGGTGATGGTCTCGGAATTGCAGTTGGAGAGTTATCAAGCTTCTCGGTTCTGGTGGTTTTGGGGATGTCTATAAAGTTGCAAAGCATAATGATCCTGATAAAACAGTGAGTATTCTTCCTCTAGGTTCTCATTCGTTGAAAAAGCACCAAATGTTACAGGAATCCGCTATGAAGACAGAAATGGTACTTGGAGACCGGAGATTGTTGCGATTGAAAATAGAAGTGATGGTTTTGATGAAATGCCATGAACAGACAGATCCCAACCATAAACAGCACTTCGTAGCTTTCGTAGATCGAGGAAAAACAGCAAAATTCAAGGTGATTCCTGCTCCACCCGACTGACGCGCGTGAATCAGTCTAACCTTGACTATTCCTCAGTTTCTTGTCATGGGTTTGGTTGGAAAGTCTCTGGAAGATATTCGAAGAGATATACTCGGTCATAACTATAGCAGATCAACAGTAATACAGTGTAGTCTACAAACATTAGCAGCTGTACAAGATTTACATGGTCTGGGCTATTTACACAGGTAACGAGGGCATTTTTGTGCATATAGGCAAAAAAATAACAAAAGGTACGGGTTATTTTTAGAGATATCAAGCCACAAAATTACGCAGTAGGCCTTGGCGAAAAACAAAATACAGTCTATATGCTTGATTTCGGTATAGCTCGTAAATTCACTGTAGGAGACACTAAGGAAGTAAAGTAAGCTCAGGCGTTTTGAGCACATAGATAGAAAAATTGTCGTCTATTTTGCAGAATAGCCAGGGCAAAAGTTAGTTTTCTTGGTACTGTACGTTTTGCATCACGAGCATGCCATAAATGTTTAGAACAAGGACGCAAGGATGATTTAGAGTCTTGGATATTTATGGTAAGTGCGGAAAAATATGCTATTAGTGAAATTCAGCGATTTGGATAATATTATTCATAATTCTCAATGTACCCTCGTGAAGGAAAGTGCCAGTAGTTTGTCGCTGTGCAATGCCTATGAGTCGTAGACTGCAAATTATCAATTTCCTCGCCCTCGACGCTGTGACAAAAAATTTGAGCCGCATCTGAATTTTGTCCTTTTCTATTCTTTTCTTTCTACTTTTTCCTTTGCAGCTCTATCTCTTTCTGTTTCGATAGTAGTTTTCTTCAACCCCAGATGAATGAACGAAATTTGTAGTTCAAAGTCGGTTCGATTATAAAGTAGAATTTCAGGTTTTCGAACTTTTCGATGATGCGCATGGTCTACCATGGAAACGTGCTCCTAGAAATAAAGTTGTTCCACTCAAGGAAAAATTTTTCAAAAATCAAAGTAAGTAGGACTCCACTCTAATCTCCTGTTTTGGCTTAGAACTTTTATATTTACAATTTTCAGTACCAAGATGTTATAAAGTAGTTCCCGCCGACTTTAAGCGGATTGTGACCTATATTGATGAAATGAGATATGCAGATGAACCGGATTACGTGTAGGATTCTTTTCTTCGGGAATTAATTCATTTTAAAAATAAAAATTTTAGCTACATAACAAACTCTTTGAATGCTATAGCTAAAGAAAATAAAATAGATTTGCGTAGGAAACTGGATTGGATTGGAGTCGTGCCAAAACCGGTCAAGAAAAGACGGCAAGTTAGTGTCCGAGAATGGGCGACTATATGAGAAACTCACGAAAATTTTCCAGAAAGAGGAGGTATCTTCCGACAATCGACAATCAGGTTCAGAATCAGATTGAAGCGCAAATTAATATTATGTCTCAAAATGTAAGTCTGAAAAAGTGTGGAATAACAGATTTGCTGAAAAAACGCCATTTTCAGAGTCATTTTCGAACAGACAGCAATCGTAATTATTGGCTGAGTGAGGCTTGTTCAAGTTATTGTCGCCGAGTCTCACTACATTCTCTTCAATGTAGACAGTTTAAACATTAGTATTGCTTTTTATTATATTTGAATAAATGCTGGTGGTGTGTTTGTTTGTTTTCTCAATCAAGATGAAGATTGAACTATCTCAGCTCCGGATTGATCAGATTCTGGTCACTCTGCGCACTATCGCAGACATTGTTCTAGCTGCTTTGGAGACGAGTTTCTGAAAATTAAGCGGCTCATTTAAGCAATTTTTTTAGTGGATTAGTACCTTGCTCTTCGAGACCCCTCGGAAACGACTGTTGCGGGGAGGACAAGGGCAGTAGGCAGCTGAAAGAGGTATTAGAGAAACGTAAGAAGAAGAATCAGCAAGACTTACCATCTCCACCATGAGCCCCCGGCTCTCCTGGGGGTCCTGGTGGTCCGTCGGGTCCTGGCGGTCCCATCGGACCGGGCGGACCCATAGGTCCTGGTGGCCCGGCAGCTCCCACTCCAGCCTGACCATCCGGTCCTGGAGGACCCATAGGTCCCGGTGGACCTGGAGGGCCTGGAGGTCCTGGTACTGGAATACCGCCTCCAGCTCCGCCCCCTCCGGGTGGTCCATCTCGTCCGGGTGGCCCTGGAGGGCCGGGTGGACCGGGGTCTCCAGGTGGTCCTGGCGGACCTGGTGGTCCCATTCCTCCGTTCCCGCCTCCCATACCGGGCATTCCGGGTGGCCCCGGAGGTCCCGGAGGACCATCCTCTCCCGGTGGTCCGGGAGGTCCTGGCGGGCATACTGCGCAACCGCCGCCACCACCGCCGTAGCCATTTCCGCCCATGCCGGCTAGACCGGGTTTGCCAGGCTTTCCAGGCTTCCCATCCAGACCGCGCAATCCAGGAAGCCCCGGTGGTCCAGGCGGTCCTGGAGGGCAAGCAGTTGTCATTGGTGCGCAACCGCATCCACCTCCCCCTCCATTGCCTCCACCTCTGTAACCTCCATTTCCGCCAACGCCGACGCCAATTGCACCACCGTTTACGCCATACCCTCCACCTCCACCTCCGTAGCCACCGCCACCTCTCCCGTACCCTCCACCTCCATTTCCCAGTCCTCCGCCACCTTTCCCGTATCCTCCACCTCCATTCATGCCACCTGCTCCGTAACCTCCGACTCCGAGTGATGGGTTTGCGCACCGTCCACCTCTGCAGCCGCGAGGCCCAGCTTTCGTCGCGTGAACGCCTCGTTTCTGACGCATGATAGCGTTGAATAGCATCTGTGCAGATTTGGAAGATTTTGCAGGAACAGTAAGTTCCGTCAGAGCGGTCCAAGCTCCGTTGGAGAGATCCTAAAAACCAACATCGATGCTACTTACACTTATCGTTAGATCTAATAAAGATTGGGCGCATATTTCGGTACTCTTTGGGAATCAAGTAGTTATTCTTCACATGATCATGACAACAACTGCATATCAAATTGAAAACGTTTCTATATGTGGCCAAATGCTCTTCAACGATAATGGAGTCTGTACAGTTAGGACCTGCTCTTTTCAAAGTTATACTTTTCTCGCGCAAACACTTGTCTGAAGTCCAAAATCTATTATTTAATACCAAGTAAATTTGAAGTAAGTTATTTTGCAAGGAGTAGCTTGTATAAAATCTACGAACAGATTTTGAATGCATTTGATGAAGTTGATGTCTGCTTGCGGTACGGGCGGCATGACGGCTCTTTTCAGGCCAATCGTCTCGAAAAAAAAGAGGTTTACTTTGTGCGTAATCCGACAAACATACTTCGCGACTACTTCATAGGGCATGAGGTTCCAGTAACGTGAGACGACGATGTAACACTCTCTTACTCATTTGTTATTCATGGTGGAACCAAACCATAGTATAAGAAAAAGAGGCAGAGTGGTTTGAGATAGTCTTGCCACACCTCAAGATCTTTCTCTCACCAAAAAATCAACTTTCAACGCTGGTACAACAAGTAGCAAAGGTTGTCCGATCAAGTGAGCTGCAGTCTAAACAGGAACTTTTTTTGCGTTACAATTTTCTAATTCTCTATTGGCGGACCGATAAAAATAAATTTGAAGAGCTGCTGTCGAGTCTCCAGTCCGACATTAGTTCCCTTTAACAGATTACCTTTACTTGTTGCCAGACTCCTGTATTCCTAATTTCTAGGAATGTTATAGCTTTTTTAGTCTCTCAAAGGATAGAAACGTCAACCTTTCCTCTAAGACTGATTTTGACTGAGGGTGTGGTTTACCTGGCCGTCGGCAAGCTTTTATACAAATCCAGGAAGTATTTTGCTAAGCGTCCGAGAGGGATAAGGAAGATGAATTCTTAGAAATTAGAACGATGATTTCAAATTTTTTTCTCTGCCACACAAAACTTAATAAATAGTTCTTGTTTCCAATCCCACGAATCGCCCCAAAATTTCAACTTCACGCGTATCGTTGTGTTCTCGCCTCTAAGGGAGATAAAAGCGTCGAAACGTTGGGCCGTGAGATCGGAAATTGAAACTCTTGAAGGCAGCGTCCGGGTGGGTATTGAGAATATTGAGATGTGTGTTAAGACTTAACAGCGTTGCGATAGTAGACCTCTCAAATAATCTAGCTGTGAAGGTTGGATCGAAAAGGCGCATCTGGAAAGCCTCAAAACTCCAGAAGCCTTCCGTACCCCGCCCACTCACACGTAATTTTGAGAGAACTCGTACTGAAGAGTTTCGAGAAAGCTCAATTTGCCATTCGCGCGCTGAGAAACCCAGATATGGATGCACGAAGAAAAGCTCCGAAAAGATGAAAAACCCGCAAAGCGAAGTTTCCGAAGCGCTGTCTTCCCCAACCTGTGAGGCACAGAAATAATTCAAAGACACACGCATACCCAGAGTTTATGAAAACGGGATCAAGACTTGAAAGTTTTACCTTTCTCATCGAATTTAAAAAGTAACCAGAAGCTGGGCAGACCTTCACGTAACACTCCGAAAGGCCACTTACTTTGAATTCAAACATCTCCTTCATGGTGGCGTCGTAGAAGTTGTTCACATCGACGAACATCCAAGCCGCGGAGAATAAGCAGAGGACGATGGCGACGGCCGATGTCGTGACGGCACCGGTCACCACCAAGTTCGCGTCCATCGTCGAACCAGTACAAGGAGACAATGAGAGATGAAGTGTGTTTAAATGGCACCTTGCTGCTCGGTTTCAGCTGTTTTTTCCCGCATCGCTTCATGTCAAGTCCTAAGCGTGCAGAACTGTTCTCTGCTACTGCGTTTCATCGTCGGCGAGACTCCTCATAGCATGCACTGTATTCATCGAACAAGTGTTTTCTCTCTAGAGAAGGTAGCCAGAATCTCAAAGCGAATAGCGCCATCAATTGCACTCGGGTAATTCAGTGAAAACGTTCTTGCTACGAGTGAAACCGGAACGGGTTGGCGGAGCTGGTTCAAGCGAGAGTGGGAAAAAACAATTTTGACAATCAATCACGTAGCTGCTATCAATTTTAACAAGTTGCTAACAAAAACTACGCCATTTACGGGAACGATCAAGTCATTATTGGCCCACTGTTGGCTAGTTGGTCTCTCGATGAAAAAAAAAATTGAGAGCAAACTGAAATTTAACAGCATGCATATAGGACACTTATTGTTAGAAGTGCTGTTACTCGGTGTTGTAGAAAGCATCAAAGACAGCTCCCCCTCCCTCCCTCCCCCCCCCCCTCCCCTAAAGTGTAAATATTAGATTGCGTATATAAATAAGCTCGTTTTGGCATAAAAATCTCCATGACTTTTCTTGTTGCTTATTATTCAGAATTTTTGGTGGGGAAGTAACTGATGTTGTCACATATTAGCTATACAGAAGTTTTTTCAATTATAATAAAGGACAATTATGCTCAAATACGGCGAAATCTCCAAAAGCTGAGCTTTTTTGACTTTTGAAGCTTCATAAGCTGCGACGGACGAAGAGATGAATAAGTTAGTATTCGGATACATACAAGTTTCTTCTACCTAGCCATTAACAATCAAATTTGTGATATGCCATTTTGAATTTAAAATGATTGAAGGGAATGTATTTTCTCATATTTGCTCACAACAAAAAACTACATTATTTTTATAGGCTTTACTCCATTGCGAAACAAATTCTACTAAAATGGAATTCATATTTCAGTTCTCGCTGAAGTGAACAAAAATTCGTCTGCATCGTAAGAGCCGCAAATGCGACCAAAGTTATTTATTAGCCAGCCTAATGAATTCCCTGTATCAAGATCAGTGCCAATCAAATGCGATGGAATAACCTACGTTACGAATTCTAACAGTACTAGGAACAACCTGATATTTTCCCATCTCCTCCCTTTCCCCGCTCTCGTTGCTTCAAGTTTTTTTTCTTTCCACTCAAAATGCGTACCGCTTTAGCGGTTCTGCTTACAGATAATCTTGATGAAATTGTTTCAGTTCCACATATCAAGAAATTGTTGGTCACACGGTGACTACCACAATTCATCTTACAATTTTGCTTTACTCCTTAGATCCTCTCTCTTCTAATACCGCTAATTTTGTTAAAAAAGCTTCTTCTTGCTTTTCCAGAATTGTATAATAAATTCTCAGAAGTTAGCATTGATATCACGCAGATCTTGAAAAAAACATAACAGAAAGCTTGATTTAAATCACAAAACCCAATTCTCTGTTATGGAAAATTTCCGGTTTCTTGATGGATCGTAATTTTACTTAGACACATTCGTCCAGAATAAACCTTGCTTAGAAGTGGTCAAAAAGACTTAAGCACAAACCTAAACACTGACTATGCCGAGTTTGATCACAATCATTTGACATGCTTTTATGGTCCAAATTGATGATTATGAAACCCGATTATGTATGTCTAACAGCTTGCACCAATCGAAAGCATGCTTTTGTTCCCATAATTTATCTAATAATGTCTTTTAGCAAATTGGAGAATTACGATTTTCGATGGAGATGCAGAATCTACGAACCAACATAGTAAAAAAAAAACTCTACGCGGTAATATAAGCGACCCTCCTCCACTGATTTACGCGCGTAAAATTCGCAATTAGTGAAAATGAAGCCATATTTCTTGTGGAAGTGATGGATGGCACAAATTTTCAATAAGTCATGTTCTATTATAGTAAAGAAGCATTGAACTTTGAATGAAAAAAGTGCAGTTAAATTTAACGGCAATATAAATCACTTTCAGATCAACTTGAAATTCAAAGTAACATAAAGGTGCGAAAAAATTCGTAAAGATGGAGTGACCTTACTACGCCATGGAGAAAAGTGCAACACACTCATCGCAAATGTGATAATACTCTCCTTAAGTATATTTCGAGCGGTACTTAACCCTCAAACAGTCTTTCAGAGTAGAAAGCGAGAAAATATGAAAGTTCGACATAGAGCAGCTTTGGAAAATATCAAGGAACTCACCAAACATCCTAATAAGGCGACAGCGATCAAGAGAAGATTGTTGTCACAAACGGGGGTGTGCCCTTCTCTTCACCTTTCATTTCATATGAATCATCTCTGAATGTACTTATTGTCTTTGCAATTATTGCAAGAGACATGCACGGCTGCACGGGAGTTGAGGACAAGACACAAAACTGATTTAGATGCTTAAAAAACATGATTACGAGGGTTATCCAAAGTGAAAGGTGTACTTTGAGTATGATCGCAAAGCAATCTCAGTGTTATATAAAAAATGCAAATGGTCTGAACTCAGCAAAGAGATGAAAAGCTTCCGAAACAGAGACAAATCGAAGAGGCAATGGCCAAGAAAATTCTCAGTAAAGGCGCACTTGGTATTTCAGTATCATTCCACACTCTGAAACTGGTTATAAGGCCTGTGCAAAAGTTACTTTTTGCGTCTTTTGCACCTAACCGCAAATACCGTAGAGTAAAGATAAACAAATACTTCACCCAGAATCCGGCACAGAATTTCTTCGTCTTTCCAGCACTTACGTTTACTCTTTCGATGAACTGAGATATATGCCAAAGCTTACAACCCTTCCCTTCGTTTTCACGGTGCCCCGCTAATTTTTAGAACTTATACAGAACTTTTGAAGGTGGTTAAAGGACCATAGATTTTTTTCCAACCCTCTGGCTCGTTCCCTGATCGCTATAAATTTCTCAAAGTACCAAGTTTTATACTCGCTCTATCCCAGCCTGAACATGAAATGGCAAACAATTCCAATAATATTTTATGCATCATTTTTTCCTCCTTCTAACAACTATTTTTTCTTTGAGAACACGCAAAGTTTACAAGAAAATCGCTAAATTTCTCATTTTACGAGTCCGCACCGTTGTACTCTATTTTTCGAAAGCTCATACGAAGCAATTATTTTGGTTAGTGATAGTAACAATCAATTTTGGAACCTCATTCTGGAGATTTTGTAGTAACTGGTGCAATCTTGTGTGATGCGATTTTCATAACTCAGCACTGGAAAATGATATGACAAATTCTAAAAAGGAAAGTGGAGGAACATGAAGCCGATTTAATTTGCAAGTTGCCGTGTCAGGTGGTCATCAAAGCACCTTCAAAAGTTCCGTATAAAAATTCTCAAAATTAGCGAAAGTTAGACACAGTAAAATTGTAGGGTTGTAAGCTTTGGCAATTATCTCAGCTCTAGCCGGAAAAATCGAAGTTTGAACATAGCTGCTGGAAAGGAAAAATATTGTAGATCTGATACTTCTAAGAGTATTTGTTTATCTTACTCTACGGGATTTACGGCTAGCTGCAAAAACTGGGAAGAACTTTTGCACCGGCCTAATATATGGCAAAGATTCTTCGTGAAGAAGACAAGTAACAACAACCAAATGATTACGGCTCAAACAACGGTCTACCTGTGGCTGCTGGAAGAACGAAATAGAAGCATTACATTTCTGCGGAAATTGCAATAACGAGCTCGAGAGAAAAAAGAATCATGACCAAAATATAGTGATGTTTTCATGGTTGCAAAACTTAAACTTTAATTACAACTTAGGAAAAAAACTGTATGGTCTCCTCCTTCCACAATTTCGTTTATAATTCATTCCATTTCATTCGAAACGCTCAAGAGTTCCACAGCTAAAAGAAGAAATAGGTTCTATACTGAACAAGAAAAACCAACCAAGTTGGCTTGAGTCTAGTGAGGAATGTACAAGAAATAGCAGAAGGATTCAGCTTTTGAAAGGTATCAGTTTATTACATAAGTTTTTTTTACAATTGATGGAAAAGCCATATTCAAAAAAATCTTCCCACATTTTTGAATGATGTGAAATGTCGTGGATTTTCGATAATTTTCGATATATATTTGTTGCATAAGTTCTGTCCGATTTGAATTTTCTGAGTTCAAAATGTCATAACTTCTTTCAGAGTCAACTTTTTTCCAAGATCTTAGTTTCTATGTGTTGAGCAGTTCCTTGGCTATAAAATGCATATTGAGATCTGCGCAAATCCTTGTTAAGGAAGAAGCAAGAATGCAAAAACTTCACAGCGTTTTTCTTCGAATCTGTCATTTTTGACATGGTAGCGCTCCCTTATGAGAATTGATAGGCATCTTTTCTAACAATGGATAGATAGAGAAGTTTTCGTAGATTATTATGCAGCATAAAAGAGCCCATAGGGTCTGCGTTGCGAGAAATTTTTTTGACCGAAAAAATTAGCCACTTTTTGACCTCGCTTCAGCACATGTGTGCATGCCTATTTACGAATTATGAAAATTTTACAACAGACGTGAGCGCCGAAAAGGAGATGGTGAATGGGCCCTGTTAGCTCTTGCTTTGCCCTAGCACCTCCAACTTTGAGCCTACCGATTACTTCTATTCGCAGAAAGTTATTGCTTGCAAAACATCTATACCAGAGATCAATGTTCGATGATAAATTTTACTAGCAAGACTTTTTCTTCATGGAACCGAACTTCTGCATATACTAGCATTCTATACCCTTATTCCGCAGCCAATGAAAGAACTTGACTTGAAGGGCGCATTGCGGAGATTTCCTCGCAAGAACATATTTCCAGGGTGAGAACGTACCTCGGCCACTTAGAGATTTTAGGCCTGAAATCTCCGTACACTAAGAAATTTATTGAAATCTGATATGCGTTAGAAAGCGCAAGGAAAGCACTTTTAAATGATACCAACAATATGGCATCAGAGATGAATTCCTCTTAGAACAGCTGCTTCAAACATGAGGCAAAAAAATCGGACAGAACTTATGCAACAACCTAATACATGCATGGTGCACATGGAGAATGTAAATTAAGATTTTCTGAATTTTTCAAATATTATTTTGGGCAGTCAATTTGCACCATTAAAGATCTCAGAATTCATTGCTTTCGTATCAATACTGATGCTTCCAAATGCCCGCGAAAACTAAAAGGCTATGTATGAATTTGAAAAAAATGACAGAATTTTTGTGAAAAAAGGAGAGTGAAATGCCGTTGAAGGATCGCATATATATTAGGTTGGCACATAAGTTTTGCAGCTTTTCCCGTAACTTTTTTCCTATTTTATGTAGCAATCTCATTTTGTGGCATCATGTGTAGATCGTGATGTAAGCTGCAAGTCTGCGCAAACCGTTTGATTTCTGATAACGTAGTACAAAAAATCTAAGCATTTTTTGAAAACTGCTGAAAATCGAGGTTTCACGATTTTTTGGCAAACATGAAGCCCTACGAAACCTGATTTAAACATATGAAAAAGCAATTATAGGCTGCATGTAGCTGGAAGTTGGCGCATTGGAATCAGTGAAAAAGAAATGAAATTTGAACACAAATTAAGGTGGGGCGCCTTTGAGAAGTTGAACAAGTCCAATGCGTCAAGTTTTGAAGGCAATTTGTCAATGACTAAGCTGCGAAAAGTCAGAATTCGCTATAACTTTGCACTATAGGGTAACCCTATGCGGTAAACACGAATATCACAATCATTTGTCGCTAAAATGAAATTCATCTTTTGATTTCACGAACGAGGCCTTTTCATGCGAAACGGATCTCATATTTGTGATCAGCATGTCAAACAAGCCCTATAGGCCAAGTTTCAGCAAAATCTGATGCATTCTAGAAATTTTCCCATAGTACCGTAAACCTACCGTAATCCTCACATAAGATGGTAAAAATCGGCAAAAATGTGTGCATTAGAAGCTTACATCATATTCCTTATATTTCCAGAAAATGAATGCGCTACGTTCAAATAGACAAAAGTTATATAAAAAGTTGCATTACTTATGTGCCAACCTAATATTTACTGTGACTCGCCGTAAAAGCAAAAATGTTGCTATAAGATAGGCCTTCATCCCTTCCCATACATGCCAGAAATGAGATTTTGCCGAATTAGAATTCTCCAGAGGATGCGGAGTGGAACAAAACTTGAATGATAACCTAATATTTGCGATTGGTTGACAAAACTCAGTGGAGCTTAACTCAAGCTCGTTTGTCAGCAAACACGATATGAATGGACTTTATTGGCAAGAACGGATATTTTTGCAAATAACAATAAGTGCTAGGAATAAGATGAGTGTTGTTAGTTCTCTGAATATGTAGATATCGAGCTTAGTTTGTCGTAGGAGCATTCTGCATGAGTAGTCTTTTTTATATTTCCGTGTATATTGTATGATTAGGTAATCTCGAAACCGGATATTGTTTTTCACACTCATTGGTTTTATAGAGTACTGAAAAAAACGAGGAAGTCGAGGTAGTCTAGAACAACATTCGATGATTTCTTATAATGGTCATAACATTGAGAAGAAGAGACCGTTTGCTACCGAGACTTCTATAAAAAACTGAAATGACAGCGAGATATGCTTTGTGTAATAATCATGACTTTCGACATGCTAGACTGATGAATCAGTATTACTCAGCCCAAAGTAAGTCATTTATCAACTTGCTGACAGATGACTGTCGTTGATCAGTCCAAACCACAGTCTTCAGGGCAGTAGATATCACAGATCAGATCCACTCATGCATCATTCTTTTCTCTCCCTCGATGCCACATTCACTCAAATTCTATTCTTGCGACGCCTTGATCTATTTTGGTGCTTTACTGATTGCCCAAAAATTTCAAAAAAAATCCAGCAGAAAAACTTAGCTATTGTCTGATTGATTTGTACAAAAAAATGATAAAAGAATTTTGTAAGTACTGTATCCGTCCATGTGTACTGGAAATGTACTTAAAATATGCACTCGAAGCATCTTTCGATAGATAAATGAAGCGACACAAGATGACAACACCAAAAAAATTCATGCATAGTTTGAATGATTTGAACTCTGCTTACCTTTCTTAGTGTAAGGTCACAAACCCATTCCGTGCTGCTGTGAGTAAATAGTCACAACTTAAACAATAATGGTGTTCAAAGAGTTTATCACCAAAATTATTGGGGTTGGCCCGAAACGTTTACAGCTTTCCAAAGATTTATAACTTCCATGCGTCCCAATGGATTGAAGTTACTATGTTTAAAAGTGAAAATCATGCTCTTCACAACACTTTCTCCTGCGTAAGTAGTGTTGGTGAGAGCTGTAAAATAACGGAAGACTTGAATTATATTTTTGAGCC